CCAGCCGCCGTGGCCGAGAGCGCGACAAGCGGCAAAGATAGTGATAAAACTGACAAATTAGGGTCTCTTTCTCTCCTCACCATAAACGGATGAGAGAACAAATATAGTAAAATTGCATATGGCAAGAAAGTGTAATTTGTGCTGATTACAATGGTGTATAATATACAGTGATCTGAATAATCTATTATCAAAAGGTTCGTGATCCTGTTGCAAGATCGATCCAGCAAATGCACGGACAATGGCATGGCCATGAGGAAACTCTTCGCAAGGAAGAACGATGTGCGGCTGATCCCTCCAACGAAGACAGCTTTAGAAGAACATGTCAAGAGGGGAGTGCATCGAGGTGGACATGTGTGGGGTCAGATACTTTTGCCAGCACCAGAGCTCCCTCCACCAACCAACTAGGGTTGGTCAATGACTGGAGGACATTACACACCAAACTGGATCAGGCTATCCGAGGCAGCTCACAGATGCACTGAGCTACCAGCTTACAAGTGCCATTTATGGTGTGTGAAGCTCTGCAAATGCAAGAAGGCTGCCCTCTGGTGAGTGAAGGGGACTGCACGTGACGATGAGTCCACGACATACATGTACTTGTTGCAGTGCTGAACTTGTTAACATGACACTGTTTATGTACATGCATCTTCAATACCTATATCTACCTAGCCTCAGATACCAGACCATTAAAGAATGTCAGTATACACCTAGCCTCAGAAATTTGACCATGTAGCATGTCAGAATGGTACCTAAGACATTTACAGACTTAAGACTTTTACACCCATTTAATATGCTTTCAAAATTGAGTCGATAGTGTCGTAAAACACATACTCAATCAATCAATCAACATGCTTTCATATAATCATTCTTTTCAAAGTATCGTGTTCAATCTAACATTATCCAATATCAGTTTATATAACAGAGTGTGAAAGATAACATTACGTTGAAATTGGTGCCACTGAATTGTGCATTGGATTGTGCATTGGATTCGACTTGTGCATTAGAATTGTGCATTTGATTTAGATTTGTGCATTAAAATTGTGCATTAGATTGTGCATTGGATTGTGAAATTGGTATCATTCGATTCCTTGCCCCCAAAAACATACATTTAGACTCCAAAATAGATTGAATAGCAGCATTTGACCCAGAGATAATGGCAAATGTAGATTTCATTTTGAAATCCAATATGGCGGCCCATTGGTAAAAATACGCTATGCAGATTGATACTATTGAATTTTTTTACCCAAAATTCATACATTTAGATACAAAAATGAAGTCAATAGCAGCATTTGATCAAGAGATAATCGCAAATGTAGACTTCAAATGACGGCCATTTTGAAATCCAATATGGCGGACATAAAGAGAGAATTCCAAGTGGCCCAATATCTGAAAATGTTTGCAATATGTTAATGTACATTTGTGCCAAATTTGGTGCTTGCATCACAAAGTGCACAATCCATTTGAATATTTGGGCTAAACCGCCCCACTAAAACAGCCCTGCCCCGGGACCGTCTCCCCCTCAACTGCGCATGTTTTAAACGTAGTTTACTGGCAAGTCAGCACGACAACGCATACATTTCGCCGAGAAGTAGATAAGGGCAATAGTACCATAGTAATATAATTATAAGAGAAATGTTAAGATCGGAGCATAATATGGAAAGCCAATAATAATAATAATAATAATAATAATAATAATAATAATAATAATAATAATAATAATAACAATAATAATAATAATAACAATAATAATAATAATAATAATAATAATAATAATAATAATAATAATAATAATAATAATAACATTAAGCTAATAAGCTATATATCCATGCGCAACAGCATGCTCTATGCGCTTTCCCAGTATAACCCCAGCAGACCAAAGAACGCTCAAAAACATTCTTGTTTTCACGGGAAGCATACAGTGCAAGCAGACGTTAAAGAGCTCAACAATTACAAACAAGCAGTAACAAATTGACAACATCTTTTGTGCCATCTCTATAGCATAGCTGGGTAAAGCGTCCGCCAACTACGACCTC